CACAGTGCCTACCTGAAGATGAAACCGGTCCTTGTCCCTCTCTGAAACCATACTCTGCAGGATGGCTATTTCTTCCCTCAGAGACCCATTGGCCATTTCACTCTTGGTAAGGGCAAGAGTCAGTGCTTGTGCCTTCTCTTTCCATTCAATTTCTCCGCTTTCATTCTGCTTCAAAGTAGCAATCACACGCTCCAGTTCTTCCCCCTTTGCCTTCCTCTCATCTTCCAGTTGTTGGGTTAGCTCCTCCTGCCTTTTCAAGAGATGGTCTCTCTCCTGGAGAACTTTCCTCTTCTCTGCTTCCTCTTCCTCCCATTTTTGGAGTTTCTGGATTTGTTTCTTTAGGGTCTCCCCTTCATCTTTCCATCGCAAAGCTGATGTTAATTGTTTCAGGAGTTCACTCTGCTTCCTAAGCTCTTGTTCTCTCCCTGTCAGAGTCTCCTCTAAATACCTGACTCTGTCTCTCTGGTACTTGATCTCTTCATCCTTCTTTGTCAGAGTCTGCTGAACATGCTGGAGATCTTCCCGAAGACCTCTTATTTCCTCTTCTAACTCTTTTTGCTTACCTTGAGCCTTGGTCTCTCGTTTCCTCTCAGGCGAGGCTTCTTCCAGGAGCTTCTCTTGCTCTCTGTGGTGTGTAACCTCTTCATTCTTCTCGGTTAGCCTAAGCTGGAGATTCTGCAAGGTCTTCAGTTCTTCTTCTTGGCGCTGGAGTTTTTGCATAAGAGTTTCATTGTCTTCATCTCTCTTCCTCACCACTTCCTCAAGCAAATTCACTTGCTTCTGGCATGACCTTAGTGCTACTTTCATGCTTTCTTCACGAAGCTGGAACATGTTAATTTGCTCTGTTTGCCTGAGGAACTCCAAATGCTGGTTCTTTACTATTTGGCTCATTTTGTCTAGATCCTGCTCTAGGCTCTCCGCCTGCTTGCCTTCTAACTCCTGCTCTCGAAGGTCCTGGACATGCTCTTGCAAAGACACTCTCTCTTGATCTGTAGCTTGTAGAGAAGATTCAGCATATTCTAGTTTTTGCAGTATGGCTTTAGTCTGCGTCGCTGCCTCCTCCTTTTGCTGTTGAAGCTTAGAGATAGCCTCCTCCAGAACCTCTATCTTTTCTTCTCTTTCTTTCAGAGTCAGTTTTGTTGCCTGAAGATCTGTTTGCTCAGCTTCATGCTTTTCCTCCTTTTCCTTGCATGCCTCACATTGCTTTCTAAGGGATAAAATTTCTTGCTCTTGTTCCCTTAGTGCCACTTGAAGATGCTGCAGAATTTCCTTCTGCTGTTCAGAGTCTTGTTCTTGTTTTTGGAAGGTCTCAATCAGCTGCTTCTGAGATTCAATCATGAAATCCTTTTCTTTCAGTATTGCCTTAGTGTATTCTAAGTCTCTATGTAAGACATTCATCCGTTCTTCTGTTTTGTCCTCATAGCTCCATGTTTGTTGCTTTAGGATGTCTATGAGCCTGTCCTTTTCTTTTAAGGTTTCTAACGTCTGCTCCAGTTGGTCACGGACAGTCCTTAACTGCATTTCCATGACTCCTTCAGCTTCCTGGATTTGCTTTTGTTGCGATTCAAGCTCTTGATCTTTTTTAGACAACGAAAGTGTCATCTTTTCTACTTTACTATGAAGCTCTTGCAGGTGCCCCTCTTGCTGTTCCTTGTACTGCTGCAAGAGTCTTAACTGATCCCTTTGGGAATCACACTCATTCTCTCTGTCCTTAAGAACTGCCCTCAGGTGTTCAAGGCTTGCATGCAGAGATCGCACCTGTTCTCTCTCCTTTTCCAGGTCTTGGATCTGCTGAGTAAGAGACATAAGCTCTACGTTTTTCTCCTTCAAGTTTCCTTTCATATGATCAAGATCCA